TAGGGGATAGAGGTTTTACAAAGGGTCTCTGGTCTGTCGCTATCAGAAGTTCCACCAGAGCACCTTTTCTCACCATTCACAAATCCTAGCTGTGGCATTCTCATGGCATGGCAATACATAGGGACATCAACAAAATCAGCAGCGGAGCTTACACGGCTAGCAGCCTGTCTTCGTGATCCTCTATTTGATCCTAGTGACCTTGATGGTTTCAACCCCACACGTGAACATAAACTCCTTGACAAATACCTGCAGGACCGAGAAAATCCCTTTCGTGAAGAAAATGGCTGGCAAGAATCAGTGGTCAAAATTTGCTTCCCAAAAAAAAAGAAAAAATGGGCTCAAGAAGATGATGCGCCAGAACTTGAAATACCAGGTGTTCATCACCGCTCACTTGTTGACATAATCTCAGGTGTTTTTTTGAAGAGATCTAATATAAACCAAATGCTCAGACTTCGTGGGCGAAGCTCTGAGAATGTATTCGCGTACCTAATATAAACCAAATGCTAGGTACAGAGTAAGTATATCACAAAAACAAGGAAGGTATAAGATCCTCACCTCAGACTTCGTGGGCGAAGCTCTGAGGTGGGTGATCATTGCTACGAAGGTTTTTAAACTCGAACGGAAGTATAACTAAGGGGGTAAATTGCCCCATAAAAACGCACGGGCCATCCTACCACTACACTTTCCTAGTATGGTGTCCTGCGCCATACTTTCCCTTCGTACAACGCTTGTCTTTGTCAACTCGCGTTTTCTAACACTCCCCCTCAAGCGGTACATAGGCCTAACGCAGCCACAAAATGTTTCACCTTTGCAGAGGGCAAGGACTTGGTGAGCACGTCGGCTGTCATCTCTTCAGTTGGGCAATAAGTAATCTCGATCTTCCCTTCTTCGATGGCGTGCTGAATAAAATGGTACCGAACATCAATATGTTTGGTTTGCGCGTGGTATTGACTGTCCTTCAAAAGCGCTATGGCTGATTGGTTATCACACAGGAGGATGGTTGGTGGTAAGTCTTGATTGAAGAGTTCGCTGATGAACATCCTCGCCCATAGTAGTTCCTTAGTGGCATGCATCGCAGCCACATACTCGGCCTCTGTCGTTGATAACGCGACAATTTCTTGTTGCTTCGAGTACCATGAGACGGCGCCACCATCAAGCATCATGGAATAGCCTGATATGGCTCGCCTGGTCTTGTTCATACTCCCATCTGCATCGGTGTATCCGGTAAGTGGCTGTTCTTCCGGACCGTATGCTAACCATAGCTCTCTGCTCCCTTTTAGGTACCGGATCACCCTTTTTGCTGCCTCCCAGTGGGCCGGACCTGGGTTGTCGACAAAACGAGAAAGAATTGCAACAACATGCGCAATATCGGGGTGTGTGCCAATTGTTGCATACATCAGTGATCCCACGGCCTCTCGATATGGGACGTTTTGCATTTCTGCGTAGTCTTCAGGCGTCTTTGGGCTCTGATCTTTACTCAGGTACGTGCTAGCAACCATTGGGATTGCTAACATTTTTTGCATCTTCTAGGTTGAAGTGTTTGACAATAGTGTCGAGGTAGCTGCGTTGTGACATGTATAAGGTGCGTGTGCTTCTGTCTCTTTTCACTTCTATTCCTAACATCCAATGTAGCTCCCCCAGGTCACTAACTTTGAAGAGTTTTCCTAGGTCAAATTTCAAATGGTTCATCTCAGTCATTGACGGTGTGACGAGAGTCATGTCGTCTACATGAACTGCAATAATGGTGAGTTCTCCTTCATTGTGCCTATGGAAAACTGCATGGTCTGTTTCACAGCGAATTAAACCAATTTTCTGTAGTCCATCGCATAGAGTCTGATACCACCTGCGGCCGGCCTGTTTCAGGCCATAGAGTGTCTTGTTTAGGCGTAGGACTTGGGTCTCTTTTCCAGGTGCGTTGTAACCAGGCGGTTGTCGCATGTAGATGACCTCGTTTTCTTCTAGTTCGCCGTTTAGGTATGCACTTTTTACATCCATCTGGTGAGTTTCCCAATCATTTTGAGCAGTCATCGCTAAGATGATTCGTAGCGATGTCATCTTTGCAACGGGGGCAAATGTGTTGAAATAGTCTATTCCTTCCACTTGGCTGTAGCCTTGTGCTACAAGCCTTGCCTTGTACTTATCGATGGATCCTGACACTGTTTTTTTTAGCTTGAACACCCATTTACTCCCTACAATGTTTGCATCTTTGGGTTTCTCAATGTAAGTCCATGTTCCTGCTACTCGAAGCCTGTTCAATTCCTCATTGATTGCTTCTTCCCATTTTGGCCGGTCTGGGCGCTTTCGGGCTTCTTCAATAGTTCTGGGTTCAACGCCTTCAAGATCTGCCATGCGTGCCACCATGGCTACATTTTGGGCGAGATCCCTTAGTGCTTCATTATCTCTCTCTTCCTCATCTCTCCCATCCGGATCGTCGACATTCAGTTGGATGCCTTTGGGTAAGGTGGGTCCGTTATTTCCAGATACTGATCCTTTTCCTTGTAGGAGGTCGCGAACATATTGGGTTGGCTGGCGAATGCGGGTACTTCGACGCGGAGCAACTATAGGTGGAGGTGGAAGAACTGGAGCTGGTAGGATGGGATCAGGATCAGCTTGATCTTGATCCTGAGGGTAGAGTGGGTCAGAGATTGCTTGGGGATTGGGTGAATCGGGATGAGGTATGTGATCACTAATTTCTACAATGTCACTCTCCTTTGGTGCTTGGTCCAGGACATCATGCTCCCCCTCAAGCCCAAAGGGAGGCTCGTTGTCAGCATCTACAGGTACATTCCCGACGTCGAAATGCACTGAGCGCTCAACAGTGACTGAATGATTCTCTGGCCAATAGATGCGGTGTCCGAGACTTTCGGTATCAAAACCGACCCAGTGACCCCTCCTAGCTCAGCTCTCAAGCTTTGAGCCAGTTGCGTCGTGCACAAGTACATTGCAGCCCCATTCGTGTAGGCCAGCAAGATCCGGCTTGACACCATGTGCCGCTTCAAATGGCGTCATTGTTGTCTAGTGCCTTGGTGGAGGTGTGGTTCTTCAACCAACATGCATGTTTGATGGCTTCCCCCCACAGGAATTTTGGCAGGCCACTGCTAAGTAAGGGGGCGCGTACTTTCTTGAGTAGGGTACGGTTCACGCGCTCTGCAACACCGTTCTGTTCGGGGGTGTCATGCACTGTGAGTTTCCTCATAATTCCTCTATCTCTCAGATAGTCACTAAACGCATTACTCATATATTCGCCACCCCTGTCGCTATGTAAGACTTTGATTGCTGCATTCATGTGGTTGCGGACCCAGGCCTCATACATTTGGAATTGACGGAAAGTGCCGGATTTATCACGCAGTAGATAAACATATGTTTTGCGTGTCTTATCGTCCGTAAAGGCAACATAGTACCGTTTTCCACCCAGTGTTTCGACTGGTGCAGGTCCCCATAGGTCGGTGTGGATCTCCTGGCCATATTCTTGTGCACGCTCACCCAGTTTCACTTTAGGGATTGCCTCGCGCTTGCCCTTGGCGCGGACACAAGTTTCACAGAAAGTGTCTGTTTCCCTATCCTCCAGGAGTTCTACCCCATGGATCAAGCCCTTTGACACCATGCGCTTTGCTGCATCAATGGCTATATGGCCAAGGCGCTTGTGGAGTTCAGTGGCAGATATGCGCTCAACAGCTGCATTGGCACTTTCGTGGCGAAGATTTGTGCCTCGCGACTGGTACACACCACCTACTTTTAGGTATGTGTCCTCTTATTTTTCCTCTCGGGTCATAGATAACGCATTCGCTTTTCGCAAAGACGGCCTTGTAGCCTGCCTTATCCATACAGCCTATGGAAACTAGGGTGTAGGCCAAATTGGGTGCGTATAACACGTCTCTCAGGCGCACTTGCGTGTCTTTATGGGCGCCGTTGGGGACACTAATCATCATATCCCCTGTTCCTACAGCAGAGAAGGAGTCTTGGTTTGCCACGCTTATAGGGTAAGGTGCAATCGTGCGGTAAATGAGTAGGAGGTGTTGATGGGGGGTGAAGTGGCTCGTAGCGCCGGAGTCATAGATTTCAATGGGACTCTTGGGCCTCGCGTTCATGGCGAGTTGGTGAGTGAGGGCGCTCCACGCGCCTTCTTCTTCAAAATCTGATAGGCTGGCGCCGTCGCATTGGACGTGGACAGCAAGGTTTGCCTTTTCAGGCTTCTTTCCCTTTGCATCGCCCGTTTGCCCCTCTTCTTTCTTGTCTCCTGGTGAGTCCCCTTTTGACTCATTCTTTGTGGAGCGCTCATGCTTCTCACTGGGGCACTGGTGTGACCTGTGTCCCTTTCCACCGCAGTTCCAGCATTCAAGCTCGCTGGTATCCTTGTCGTCTCTGCCGCCAGATGATTTTCCTTTCTTGTAGCGACCTCTTCCGCCTCGACTTCCACGTTTGGACAATCCTTGACCTCCGGTGGCTGACATAGCAATGTCCTCTGATTTTGCTGTCGGGCGTTTTCTGAATATGGTCTGTCGGTCATATTCTTGGAGAAGGTACGAGATCAGTGTCTCTGGGTCCAAGGTCTGCTTTGACATATGGGCAGACACTGACAGGTGCGACACGTAGGTGGCGTATGAGTGCGGCAAAGACATGATGATGCTGGAGGTGAGTTCTTTGTCTGCTAGTTGGACTCCTGCTGCGCTGAGCTGTTCCCATAGCGCGCAAATCTTGTCCAAATGTGCGCGCAAGTCTCCTTTCTCGGTGCAGCGTAGGCCTAGAGAAGTGAAAGATATAGGATGATGCAGCTATGCATCTGACATATGGCTCTTGTTGTCTGTGATTGTTTCGTATCCTTTTGACATTCCCTTTTCCTTTGCTAACAACTGTACTATTGAATAGTGTATCTGGGTCGTTTTTATGCTGGTTCATGTCTACGTTTTCATGTTCCCTTGTTTACATGTTTTACTGGATAAATTCGGTTGTATCAATATTTCCAGGACAATTGATTTGATGTATGAAATGGAGACCACGGAATGTGTGATTCCATCCTAGATCTGCCACTTGATGCGACTGTGCGCGATATTGTAGGCTTCCTGTGGTATCCCATCATCAGTCTTCAGTAACTGATGCCCTTTAGTTGGAAATGCTCTCTGCTTCGGAGAAGTCGGTTTCTCTCTCTTTCTCATGCGCTGAAGTAACTCGTGTCTTATTTTTGGTCAGGTTGGCTGAATTAAAAATGAGAAGCAGAGAAAAATAGGTCTAGTTTGGTCAATCAGAATAACCAGATGTTGACCTTGGGCTTAGATTTACGACAAGTTGCGATTACATGCCGAGATACGGTTTCCGATCAAGAAAGTCCAGAAAACAAGCGACAATATATTTCTTTTGATTCAAGTTAGCTTCATATGTATCATATTGTTGTTCGTCCCTCACATCTTTCAGGCTATCCTTGGGGGAATACCATTAGGCGGTGGAGATAGTCAGTCTCATTATGAGGTATCTACCGTATTTCGTCATATTTCTCGTATAGCCACAGGTATGGCACTTTTTACTGAAAAGTTGGTTGGATCGTAAATGTTTACTGACAGTGGCCATGAACTGCTGTATAGCCGTCGTAGAAGTTGCGATAGTGAAGAAGAGTGGTGCCCAAGCGAAGCATGGTTTGGAGCTGTCTGTCGATCACTTGATATTTGTGCTCGTACTTTTAACAATTGTGTGACAGGGCTAGATGCTTATATGCAAAAGTTTGGGAGGACCGGCCAGTGGTTCTTCGTCAGATAGAACACATAGGCGAAAAATCGTAGGGGGACTGCGCATCTTGCTTGATAAGGGCTAATTATTATTTGCAGACTCACAGTTGATGATCAAACTTCACCAACCCACACATTAACTTAGTAGTTCTCTCTCATAGGTCCTTGCTCAACATGGAATTAGTACATTCAATGATCTGCTTAGGCAGGACCCGATGAGAATTGATATAGTGAGGACTTACTCTTTAGTTACTCGTCGTTCGACTGATGGCATTGATAGCTTCTCAACCGTCGAGCTCCTTGTGGTTTTGAAGTTCTTGCTTCAGCTCGTCAACTTCCAAAATATTAATATTATGTTAGAGTCACCGAAACCAATGTCACCCCAAGTAACGGAAAGGACCCTGTTGAAATCAAACTATCAATACAATGTGGGCTGACATCTGAAGATGCATTCCCTACCAAAGTCAAGAAGCAAAAAGATCAAATAATCGATATGACAACTGTTCTGACAGCAACATCCGATCTTACCTTCGTTGATTTTCGCCACATCACGTAGGGATTTCTTTATCATCATCATCGTCATCATCATCACAGTCCTTGTGCGCTGATGATTTTATCCAGGCACGAAAGCCCTGGGGGAGCCCAAGATATTCCCGATCAGCGCTCAATTGACTAAACCCGACCAATCGATATTTGTTTACGTCTCGCCGGTGCGTAGTCATTACTTCCTGTCTCTGAAACTGCCTAAGATTTAAACCAGGACAAGATTGCTGGACTTACCATAGCACAGATTTATAAACCCAAGCTCCAAGTGCATCAATATCCGACACTAGACACTCGGCCTCCCAGTTCTTTGGTACACCACTTATTTTGAAGTGTATGGTAACTGCTGATCTATAATATCAGGAAATGGATCTCGCAGGACTGGAAGACGATCCTGACTTCTGGAATATGGACTTTGCCGACGAGGACGAGGAAACTGTATTCGTGAAAGATCCGACGAAAACTCTTGGTCTGCCCCTGAAAATTCTACCCTGACGGCATTTTTGCTTATGGTGATTCGGCTAACTTTACACAGAAACAAAAGCCACTCGTGAAAGCGAAAGTAGATATAGTACCTAGAAAGGAAAGCAATGGTAAATATGAGTACGTCCCACAGAATTACACTTCGCCGTGGGAAGATGGACTTGTCGTTACCATTGTTTAGATGCAAACATATCTGCAAGGACAAATCGTCATGCCGCCATCTTTGGTGCGTCTCTACCTTTTTTTTTTCCAGCCATTCTACCATTTCAAGCCAAAATTCATAGCTGCCGAGAAGGATTATCTAAGCCTTCTCAAGTGCCAAAAAAGCGACTTCAGCCAAACACCGAGTACCCCAAGGAATATAACCAGGACCTTGGATCTTCGTCCCAAAAGTCAAACAAAACAAAACAACCAATCGGTCTGACTCTGCACGTAGGTACCGAACGCAATCAAAAACCACCAGAAGGCCACTGTCTCAAACTAGCTAATATATCTTCCGGAGACGTCTCGCAGCAGAAAACGCGAGTAACCCCCAACTTCGACCTAGAATTCATCCATGCTACTCGCCAAATCAAAAAATTGATATCCATATCTTCAGAAACCAGCTATTCAAGTTCGGAAACAGATTCTCTTATTCGCAATCTGCCTTTGGAGTTCCTCGAGCCATCTACTTCCCACTATCAACGAACTATGTCTCAGAAGGCAGGCCACCATAGAGGCAATTCCGGATCGTCTATCAATGGCCGTTATGAAGCAGCAAATGAGTGTCCCCCGACAAAGAAGCCAAGATTTGATGTAGGGGGCGGGTGTTGTCTCGTCACGCCCTCTGGCTTACTCGATGAAAAGGTGAACATCAGCAGAGTTAATGCAGTATCGTATATAAATACTCTGCACAGAAAACAGGATTCTCGGGCTCGCCTGCTAAGGTCCAGACAGAAGAACGACAATCTTTATCAGATATATCTGAACAGGATGACACGGTCGATGAAGATACCCCTCGAGGGTACACTTTGGAGAACGCCGCACGCGAACAAACAGGCAACAGATACGAAAGCTACTTTGACGTTCTGCGAACTACTTCGAGTTTAACGGCGACCTTTGCTAACAAATAACGCTTGTAGCTGGCTCTTCTGGGAGAATCACCAATGACTCGGATGATCCCTGGGCAGAATTTGAACGATGGTTGAAGAGTGGAGCAGTGGATTTGTCGAGAATTGCTGGTCCCGCAGTGACCAAAATTGACCCCCAGTGAAAATCAGATCTACGGAAATCAAGGGAAATCGGGTGACATCAATTTCAGTTAGATTGCCAAGCATGTTGATACAGTAGACACAGCATGTGACGAGGTAACAATTGTCACAACGAACCGTGACTCGGACTCAGTGATTTGGACTCATTATCAAGTGGCTGTATAAAGGTTAACATGGTACCACCCAAAGATGTTCACCACATATCATGAAACCAGACTTATGTAATATAGCCTTGTCAGAATTTGCTAAGCCATGTTACAACACCTTGTAACACCTTATAATGCCTTAATGTCACAACTGCATTATAATGAGATTAATAGAAAGATGTGTCCTTATGATGAATATATAATATCTATTACAATGAACATGATAATATAAACACAGTGGCATAGTAATTCTATTAAGTGGTGCAAAGGTTTAATATTATGTTGTCATAATAACAGTCCAAAAATTATAATGTAGCCTCTGGCTTTTGTTGGATATTTGGTCCCTCAAGGCACGGGAACAGGCGCGGGAGAAGGATTCCTTGGGCAAATGAATGCCGTAGAAACGTACATACAAGGCTTCTTATATAATAAATATACATAAATATCATGTGAAAAAACAATGGTAGCCACAAAAGGCTGGTTATTCTTTGGGCAAAGCTCCGAAGTTTGCTTATATAATATAATTTCTACAGCTTTTGCAAGCTTAGGACTTGAACTTCTGGCCTTGCTATTATGAGGTAATTATAATGGCCTTCTCATAGAGTTGTCTTTTTTCCATTACATCACAATGGTCTTACAGTGTGAGGAATTCATTGTGGATATATAGGTGCTTGTATTCTACATTAGAAAAATTTATAGTATTGACTACAAACTTTACTAGACATAGGGACTTGGCAAGAATTTTACTGATCACAAGTATGATGCTCAAACCTGCTGAACTCTCAAATGCAAACAGTAATCTCTAAGGCACAGAGTAAATCAAATCCAATTATAACATAGATCAAGAAGGCTATGGCATAAATATATTCTAAAGAAAAACTTTGGCCTACTCAACACCACACTTGCAGGAGAAGCACTTCTTGTCAGTCTGTACAGCTCCTACAGTCTTCTCTTTTCCCCTCTTTCCTCATTTTTGCTTTGCACCACGTGCCAGTTCAGGCTCATCTTTGGACAGCAATACAGTGTGAGAAATTGAAAATTTCAGCTTTCTTCCACCTTTTTTTTTCAATCACTATGTCCTGGTTATCCAATCCCTTTCCCACTACCCCTCTTGTGCTTGGACTAAAGATCACCATTGGTGTTCTCATATTTGTTTCTCTTGTTGCTTTTCTCTTTTCATTTTATCGCCTATTATACTACATCAACAAGTTTCTCAGAAGGTCGAACACTCCAGAGGTCACCCAGCTAACCAGCAGGGATCGCCAACCCAGTGGTTAAAGGATTTACCATAGGAGGTAGAGCAATATGGAAAGACCATACCAGTCCAGGAGGAGCATGTGAGTTATGGGAGTCTATATTAGGTATTCCTTTTCTCTTTAAGTTCCACATTCTATTTTCCTTTCCCCCTCTACATCATATCCTCAGTAATTCAAAGTATGGTACAATTCCCATCTTTTATCTCATTGGATGATTTATAACAGACTGCTTTCTACTTTCTCCCTTCTCTTTTCAGTCTGATCATAGCAGTTCACTACTTAAAGACCCTTACCTAGTAGTAGTAGCCCTCAGTTCAGTATTACTTGAGATCAGTGTCTACATCAATACTCTTTGATCCTCAATTCTTATCCCTGCCACTTGTATCAAAAGACCTAGTGATTCAATTGAGTATCTGTTATATAGCTTTCTTTCTGGTTGCCTCACATACAGGTATTATAGTGTCTCCCAGAACTCTTTCAAAGGTGATACCAAACAATGTATTTGGCTTGCTGGTGTTAGCAGCTTGGGGTATCAAACATTCATTGTGCTCTGAATTGTCATCATCAGGATTGTTGAGTTTGTATGGCTGCTGTAAAGTCATCTTCAGCTACCTCTTGTCAGGTGACTGTTTTCAGGCCCCAAAGATATAGCAGTTAAATATGAAATAGACTTCCCTTACATGTGATATGTTTTTCTGAGCAATAGACTGCTCTGTCTCTTCATTCTGTCCTCCATAATTGATAGTCAATCTACTATTAGATCTATTAAGATCCTAAGGGAGCCCAACTTCCCAGACATGTTTCCTGAGTACAAATCAAATAAAAAGACCTGATATTGCTTATGTAACAACCAAGAGTTAGTTACTCTGGCACACAACTAGAACCAACTATAAAGGTAGTGAGGGGAGTGGTTATTCTTAGGATAGGACCGAGTTAGTTGTGGGTAAACAACAGGAGGACTTGCTGAAGAGTCTCCTGGATTTATTGGGGTTTATATACTACTACAGAGTATTTGTACTTATGTACTGTACAGTTGATAAAAGCAGTGGCTGATGATGTCAGAGGGCGCAGCCCGTGTGACCAGCTCCACTGCGTGAGAGACTTGTAACTAACAATAAGAAGAAGACAGTGTAGCGCGAGAAAGAGGAGTTTGAACAAAAGGGAAAGTGCAGCATGGCACAGCGTGTGAAAACTACAGTAGAAAGTTGAAGAGGAGAATGAAAATCAAAGGAAAGGTCCAAAAATTGTGTTATCGTAACAGCTTACCTCTGGACATATAAGCCCATACTAGAACACCTGCTTCCCTATCACAATCAGTGACCAGAGAAGGCTCCTACTCAAACCAATCAATGGGCTGGGGTGCAAACATCCTGGGGCCTTTGTTTCCTTGGAAGCATAAGGAGTCCAAGAAACTTGTATAGGAGGCATTCAGAGATTTGATCAGTGAGTAATAATGAGAATGATGCTGTAGGTGTCAGAGCTAACCTTCAGTACTATAGTATTCTAACTTTAGGTTTATCAAGGTTTGACTGTGATACTATATAATGCTGGGTTATTACATGTTCTCCATTTCCTATGACCTACAGTAGATAGTGTGTATAGCAACAGATATTGGTGCAGGGGTGAGGTGGTGTAGTGGCTATCACCTTCCTCAATGGGTGAGACCTTTTCACAAAGTTGGAAGTTCAAACCCTGCCCCCCCCCTAGGAGTTCCACCTTTAACATTCTTAGGGCTTAGTCACTAAGAATGCTTCCATGTACAGTCACTCTCATGCCACCCTATACACCCAGCCCCTAACAACCCCCCTGGTTGTTAATTCTGGAGCACTATCTAACTTGTGGGAAAATAGTATCCTTATCATCAATTTCCCAGCATATGCTGGCATAGATACTACCCTACACAATTAAACATTAATTTGGGGTCTGTTGGAGTTAGAAGGGAGGGAATACTTTAAGCTAGGGTGATGTCCTGGCTTTCAGGCCATAAAGGAGTGAAGGAAATTGATTCGGGCCAGTATTTGCACTGAGGGGACCATAATAAGTCAGGCCAATTGCAGTTAAGGAAGTAGATTAGGGTGGGTGGGGGTCATGGGTCAGTGTAGGAAGAAAGGAACATATTATTCAACATTTACTATATAGCCTATGGAGAATTTAAGCACATATAGCTTGCTACGTGACACATACATACATTGCTTACATAGTCTTACATAAGGGCTGTAAGCTCTTGAAATAGACTATAAACTGGATTTAAAAAAATAAAAAAAGATTCTGGTGCCATTACCTGGTATTATATTTTAGCATGCAACCTCTGAGTGTCACTTGACCAAAGAGAGTGTATAAAAGCAAAGTGGACCAGTGGAAGATGGAATCTAGGGCCTCTGCCTATATATAGCAGTGCCCTACTGGCTGAGCTATCAGCCCTTACTTCAATCACCCCTTTAAGATATACCTCTTAGCTTTATATATTTATATATACCTATGTACCTAAGAGGTCATAATATGCTGGTTATCCCCAGTCTGTTAGAATAGCTGGGGATGTCCTCTAGGATGTCCCCAGGGACAACCACTCTATGGTCCCTGGGACAACTATTCTGTTATCCTAGGGACAATCACTCTTGTATCCCTGGGACAGTTTCTCTGTTGTCACATTGGCAGCTGCTCTGTTATCCTTGGTGTCCTCTTCTACAGTTATAGGATGATAAATATTGTGGTCTTTGTTGAGAGAGAGATTGTAGTTCTTTCTACACATTTGAGATTTTTAAAAGGCTGAAAGGTAAAAAGACATCAGATTGGTCAGGGTGTATTAAAGTATTGTGTATGAAGCAGCTTGATGAGCTTCACAGGGTTAAGTGATTGTCTTTTATGTGTGTTCTATTTTCAGATATTATTTATAGGTGTAGCTTTTGCACCAAAAGCATAAAACCCAATGACACCTCTAGTGAGACAAGATTGAGATGTTAATCTGTGATAAGTACAGTAAGAAGTGCACTGTGCACTAATTAGTGAGTGATTTCACCAAATTGTTAAAAAAATCTTGGATTGGAATAATATATTAATGCATCCTGTGCCACAGCATCAGCTATATGGTCTGATGACACCTAAAAAAGTATCCTGATCTACATGGGACGTCGAAAGTGCAACATCTTAAGGATGGCCATAAAATGTACAGCTTCATTTTAACTATTTGAACAGTGTTAACTTTATTGTTCTTTGAAGGCTTTTATTTTAACAATCTTGATAATTTTAAATGTGGATGTGGATTGTATGATGAAGTGTTAAAACTGTGTTATTTTCTGTCCTTTGCAATGTGATATTGAACATACAGACTAGTCCTGGTAAGTATAGCAAATCATCATATATTTCTTCTGTTCTCACCATCTTGAATGTTTATCTTCTGCTCAACTTCAGGCTGCTTTCTAGGGCATGGCCAAAGCAAATTAACCTCATCAGCACTTTGCTTTGCACAGTAAAAGTTGCAAGTCCTTGCTGTCCTTGTTCCTTCAGCATTCTTCTTATTTACTAACAATTGATCTTGTCTTGCTAGTTGACAAGTTTCTTTCTTATACATTGTTTGTACTCACTATTCTGGATCAGAAACATTTCCTTTTATATGGGTTCACTCTATAGCAGCTGTGACTCTCCACCTAACCTGATCACCCTATACAGACACCAGCCCCTTTTCTGCAGGTAGACAGTTTACAGCTGCTAGTTTATCACATTTACTTCCCCTTCAAACAAAAAAGAAAATAGAGGGTGGCTTCTGTATACTAGGGCTTTGTATATAATATTCATGCAGCACATGTTGTTATATTGTTTTATATAATACCTATCAAAATATTGTGTATCTGTTCAACAATTTGGCCCCTCACAAAATGGAAATTACTTAGCCAGTCTTGATTTGCTATTTGTAGCTTAAAAGTGCCAAAATATTGCCTCAACTTTAAGTTTTATATCCAATTTGCAATGTTATTTTGGGAGATTAGCAGTTTTCCTCACAGTGAAATGTAGGGCATAGTTCAAAAGACACAAAGGCCATTGAGAGACTGAAAATCAATCAACTAAATAATCTGAAAACTTCAATTTGTTGAAGTAAAAGAAGAAAGCACCAAAGTAAAATGATGACACAAAATAATAACTCAAAACCATGTACTCAAAAACATTTTAATACCAATTAAAATTATGCAGCTACCTGTGAAGATAGTTTTGCATATGTATAGGCAGACATAATAGTAAACTCTACAAGTTGCAATACTAGTGAAAGAATATACTCTGCACATTACTGTAACAATCCTCTAAATTGGATACATGCCCCTAATGTTCTAAAATAAATTATCACATTTTCAATATCAATCAAATGGTTCACAGGAACCCAAACTAAGATAGAACAGCAAAGACTTTAAAAAAAGTGGCCTTTTGTTCACATAGAAAGTTCACACTTGCTGGTAGTGTTGTGGCTTTTTCACTTGATTTTCCCATAATAACATTCATACAATGCATGTTGATGCATTATTTTTTGGGTATGCTTTTGTTGTGCAGTTTACTACGATGTTTTAGTATAATTCCTTGAATAAGGGTCAATTGTATGTGCAAGGTTTTGGTTTGGTGGAGCTTAGCAAAAGTAGGTTTAAGATGTATTCTGAAGAGGGACAATTCTCAAATTTAAGCACATTTTGAGTAGTAGCTGGAATAGTACAGAAATGTATTGGAGAAATATTAACTATGACTATGATTCAGACTTTATATAAACCAGTTGCACACCTTTTTCACAAGTCACAAGCCCTTTGGAATTGCAACTATCATTTGTGATGGTCACTCAATATTCTGGTTGTTGAAATTGAAGTTATGACATATGATAAAAACAGAAAAAAAAGTCATAAATGTCCTTGGGGTTTTAAGAGTCATATTTTGGCTGTAATATATTCTGTAGTCTGAGAATAAAGCTGATAGTCTCAAAAACAAAGTTGAAATATTTTCATGTCAAACTCAGACTGCTTCACCTTGTTGAAGATAATCTTGAGGTTGTCACAGGTTACATGGGATTTTTGAATCTTTGAAAGTAAGGGTAAATTGGGTCATACTCAGAGTGTTTCAAATATAGTACCTGTGTGATAGTCACACCATACTTGTTTGGTCCATGACACTGTGATGAACCTAATGTTGTATTTAATATGGTATTTCCTCTGGCCAATTACTGGCCACTATAAAGACCATAATGGTAGTGCGTCTGACAAGGTTGCAAAAAGGTGTATCTGGTGAACTTTTTGTTTTCAACAAATTCCAGTTCAAATTGGAAAAAAGAGCTTCCTGTTTCAAAAAAAGAGCCTGTTACAAAAAGTAACCCCAAGTTGGGCCATTTTTTAAAGAATGTATACTATACTCTCTGAGTCTGTAGTAAAAGAGCTCCAAACAGTAATATATTGTGATCCCTTTGGTTTAAAGATGCATATTTTTATGTGTGCTTTCCATTAAGCAGTCTATAAGCCCCTTTAGTAGTGAGTTATATAACATTTCTAATATTATTCTATCTCCAATTAGATGTTTGAAATGTTTCACAGGTATTTGGGAAGTTTCAACAAGCAGACATCCCATTGGCTCTCAGGGATGTTCCATAAATACTTTGGACGTTCTAACTTGTGGCTTGGGAAAACCCACTGGCCCTCAGGGATGTTCCATGAGCTTTGGGAAGTTCCAGTAAACAGCATGGGACATCCCACTGGCTCTCAGGGATGTTTCATGAATACTTGGGAAGTTTCAACAAACAACTTGGAACATCCCATTGGCTCTCAGAGAAGTTGTAAGCTATAATCTGGGAGGTTCCAGTTGGTGACTTGAAATATTATGTGTGTGGACACTTGGGAGTTCCACTCTTTATTCTGTGAGTCCATTTGGTCCCATTTATAGCTTGAATTAACCCATCTGTTACTTAGGTATTGATCATGTGATGTTTTGTGATGGTCTGCCAAAAATTCCCTGAAAATTCAGACTCACAGGTCTGCACTTGAATTACCATAAAGAGATTTTTCTGGAGCACATCATACCCCCCAGAAATTAAAAAGTGACTCACCTTACAATAATACCTTTGTATAAAATTCTTTAGTGCAGGAGAAAACAGGCAACTGAGTGAGACAGTTGTTCTCAATGTAATGTATAATGGTCCCATGGGAAACCCTGGCCATAAACAGGCAAATAATTACCAAATGATCACACAAAAGATACAGTGATATATTTAACAAGGCATGAGTTTAGACAGTGGGAAGTAGCAAGCACAGACCTTCATCTTCATCATCTCAAAGCAACATACACTTTTTGAATACTTGAGTGATGATCTTGGGCAGCACCATAAATTCATACTCACTACCATTATTAGACAATCTCCCTGTTGAAAGAATGTCTTAAGTGGTATGTCACAGTTGAACAATGGCAAGCCTGGGGTCTTCATTTGACAGTGTATGTAATACAATCCCAACCTTTATATTATTATATTTGTTACTTTGTATTATTGACTTGGTCAGACAATAGTAGTTATAATAGTAGTTGAAGTCAAACTTGGCTTTACCCCTACCTTCCTTTTTCTACAAAGTTTGGTATTGGTTGAGTCACCACCACACAGATAAGTTTCAAATAAATACCAGCAGTTTTCAGGACTATTTTGAAGTTGACATATCTATTCTCATGCATCCATTCCTCTGGCTTCTGAATTACTACACCTGTTAGCAATCATGCTAGACCTGACACCAACAATGTCTGTAGCAATCTCATATGCAAAGCCAAAGTGAGGTTGTGGAATATGTGCCTGTGTCATTCATTCCTTCACACATAAACAAAGCCAAGAACTAATCACAGGCAAATCATTCAACTGTAATGGTCACACAGAATGTCACACAGCAAAAAGAGAGTTGAAAGAATTCCCAAGTGAGCCAGTGTGAGAACAACAAATTCACAGTTGATTCTAAGAATACCACCTCTAGCTACTACAAGAGGTCTTTGATACACTAGAAGGGAGGTAAGCTAACCATCCAGCTAGGTGCTATTGAAATCATTGTAGGAAATTTAAAAAAAGCAAGAAACAAGTAGTATGATGATATGCAGGGGAAAATAAAATAGCTCACTAGGGAATAGATACTATATTCCTACTACTACAGGTAGGGTGTCTATAATTATCTCAGGTAACATTTTTTGCTGTAAACCTTGGAATGTTGCAAATACTGTGCTGCAGCCTATTTCAGCCTGGTGTTACTAATACGTAGTTCCAAAAAGTCTGTACTAAGCTTGCTCTGCACACTTTCTTACAGGACTCTTCTTGTGATAATTCCTGCTCCTGGTCCACTCCAATCTGTTTCCATGATCATCAAAATCAAACATCAGACTTGACTTTATGATATTTTATTATCAATCTAAACAACCTTTCCTCCTGTCCACACTGTTACTGATTATGCTGGAAACAATGGCACACATATTTACAAGTATCCTCTATTATCATTCTTTTTTGATGAAATTCCTTTTTCTTATTGTTGCATAGACTGACAAAGCTATTTTTTGTTTTCTATTCAATGTGTCTACTTACAAGTTCCATCAAGATTGAACTTCATTGTATTAACATGTTGGCAGCTTTATCACCTGTGTGGCCTTTCAGACTGATGAGATCATCAGATTTTTAGTCAATTTGCAAAGGTCTAAACCTGAGGGCGGCTGAGTTGACATACAGAACAGACCTCAGCGGAGGTCAATATTTCGGGAAATGCCCCAGTTGAGTGTTACAATAACACATTTTTCGGACCTTTAAAATTCATTCTCCTCTTCAACTTTCTTTTGTAGTTTTCACACCCTGTGCCATGTGGGACTTTTCATTATTGCTCAAACTCCACTTCTTGCGCTGTGCTGCCTTTTTCTTATTTTTAGTATCTCACGCAGTGGAGTTGGTCACACGGGCTGTGCGGCATGACATCATCAGCCACTGCCTTCATCAACTGTATAGTATATATGTACAAACAAACCTGTAGTAGTATATGTTAGAATATACTCTGACATACCAATACTCCATAGGATAATACCTCTGATTTGTAAGCCAGCCCAGTATGCAGCAGCTATACGGGGCAGCCAACAAATACCTGGCTGTACAAACACACACAACATACCACTGTAAAACACACATGGTATTCAGGCCAAATGGGATCACAGCCGGCTGTAAATCAATTCCTATTATAACCAATAAATTTCTATGTGAAGCCTTATAGTTACTATGTCAGCTATACCAGCTCATTTATGTCTATGAGAACCTTTTTCTGATACTAATAATGATAGAATTAATATTCACCAAATAGTTTGGTACGCATACAAACTAGCCTGATTATTTAATAGAAATCTATCACAAACATCCAAAGATGTCCATTCTCGCACGGCTTATTGGGTGATCTAATCTTATCTTTGCTGGAACAACAATACTGGACCATGCAAAATGGACAGTCTGACCGTCCATTCTTGCACGGCTCATCTAATCTTATCTTTGCTGGGACAATACTGAACCGTGTGAGAATGAACAGTCTGACTGTCCATTCTCACACGGTCCAGCAGATTGCTGATTTTACGTTATCAGCATTGCAACACCTTACCATATTGTTGTGTAACCAAGGTCAGGCTGCCATACATTTTCCCACAGTCTTTGTAGTATACTGAAGTTGTACAGATTTACTATTCCGGCACTACAGGTCAAGATCCTCGCTCAGATACTGGGTCAGCAACCACTGCCAACAGAGCTGATGGATTTTCATGCCCAACTGGTGGGTATCCTAAGCACGCTCACTCCTGCTGACCTCTCTGCACTGCTAGACAAAGTGGCTCCATCCTCAATGGTTCCATTGTCACTCTCTGACAGCCCACCTTATGTCACCATGCATCAAGATCTAACAACATCATCCCCAGCCCGCTTTGGTGAGGAGGTATGTTGGCTCTCCCCTCCTAATGCCGATGTTACTGACTATTTTTTCTCCACAGCAAACTCAAGCTGACGAGTCCAAATTGCAGACCAATCAATCTCTGCAACAATCTCTGGCGGTGATACGCTCACAAAGACGCCAACCACGTCAACACCCGTGTGCTGCTGCAGCTTCTACTCCTACTCTTGCACATCGATCTTGTCGATCTCCATCTCCTGCATATCAACAACCTGCTCCAGCCCCTGCTCCAGCTCCTGCACATTGACGGCCTTGTCCAAGGGTGTTACGCACGAAGTGCTTAACAAAGTCTGAGGGTTTGTTGAGGTTTATAAAGAGACTTATCCAAAGACAAGTTCGAGAACGTAGTTCTGAGTAGAGGTTTTCCAACGAGAGTTGGTCTTCTTCTGAGTAGAAGTCTGATCTTAGGAGTCTAGCTTTGTAAGTGTGAACTGCGTAGAATCATATTGGAGAATACTACTGCTGTTACATGGTATTTATAATGGAAAGGAATTGGTGATAGGAGTTAGGTCCTATCTAGGGCAGGTCCGTCTGTTGAGGACTAAGTACTATAATAGGTACTGTGAATGCGAGAGGAACGGAAGTATACATGAAGGAAATGAGTCATTGGTCCGATGGTATAACCGATGAGTAAAAAGAAATGAGTAGTCCTTAAATGTCCAATAGAGATTGTAACATTACCCCCTTACTTGCTCCGAGTTTCACCGAAATTTGGTACCTTCGCCATCCATATTGTAACTGTTGTCATAGCTGACATCTCCATGTAATCCTTCCATCAGAATCCTATCCTCATCTTCCCTGCGGATGGGACACCAATTGAAACTATGTCCCGGTGCACAACGGTCACAGTCGGGGCAATAGTAGGCTTTGCAATAGTATGTGCGATGATCGCTCCAACCGCAGTTTTGGCAGTATGGAGCGTTGTTACAAACACCTTCATGGTATCTTTGTCGGGTGTTGGATGAGGTGTTGGATTGGGGAGTGGTTGGATCGTCATCTCCCAGGTTGTACGTTCCTGCGTACAACTGATCAATCATGGCTGCATCGTCATCTACGTTGATTGGGTTGGAGGGAGAGCCAGTCTCAGGCCTGTGCATTGCGCCAGGCGGACTGTCTTTTTGTCCCTTCGACATACAAGACTGCCGTTTTGATGGAGTTCTGGCGGCGGGGATCTGGAGTATCACCTCTTGCCGGCTGCATCGGACTCCTCGTTGGTTCGTCAGGCGACGGGTTTGGGCGTTTGGCACTGGTTGAGGTGGAGATAATGGGGGAGACGGTGGTTTTGGGTTCGACCCAATGGAATGGGGACTGGAGTGGCTCAACTCTTGTGAGATCAGGCTGGTTGGGATGGTGGGAATATATTTTTCCTCCGACGGGATGGGCGTAGGTCGACGGGTGATGATGTGGTAAGTGTGCTCCGGGGTAACACTGGTCTGGTCTGGGTGCAACAGGGACCGGAGGGACAAACCAGGTGGAGGAGTACTTGTACAACCGTCTCGCTCTATCCGCGTGCGAGCTTTGTTAAGCAATGTCCTCCCGCCTGATTCCAAATATTCCTTTGCCAAGTCCATCTGCCCATTCGAGGAGCTCATCCTCAAGCGTCGTTCCAAAGATTCCAAAACTAACTTTTCCATCCGGAGTGCCTGACAGATACTCAAGTCCTGACTGTTGAGCCGCAAATGCTCGCTTTCCAACGAATGTATTGAGTCTATGGCTTTTAGGGGTTCATCAGCTATGAGGTCTATGGCAAGGAAGGTATGCATGGAAGAAAGAGCGTGATACGCATGGGGTAAAAGAGATAGGTATAGGCTTCTTTTGCTGACATTAATTCTATGGCATCAGTGATGTTGGCTTGGTTGTGTCGTTGCTTGTGTCGTTGCCCACACGCAAAAGACACTCGTTTGTCGGCTAGCAAGTTGGCGTCGCCGGGTATCGAGTAGGTGGTGATAGGGAAGCCGGTGGAGTTAGAAGTAGACATGTTTTGTGTTGAAAGACAGAGGATTGTTGGTAGTGGGGTGATTGTCTCTTCAACGCAGCTTGTGGTCCTTCTTATAGGCTTCCAGTATCTCTGCAGCATTGGTTAAATGTTCTTCCGGTTCCCATGAGTTTTCAGAATGAGGGTAATGCCACCATTTAATCAGGTCGCGGCGCCCGCGTTTCCAGGGTTTGTGTCTAAGAATACTTTCTACTTCGTATTCCTCTTCTTTGTTGATCAGGTCAGGTGGTGGTCAGATAAAGTTTGGGCCATGAGTGTTGGTTTCTGTATACGGCGTGAGAAGGGATGCGTGGAAAACATTATGTATCCTCCAATGGGGAGGCAGGGATAGTCGGTAGTTCACCGGGGAAATCTTTTCTTGGATGTGGAAAGGTCCGATGCGTTTCATGTTGAGCTTCTTGTATTTGGTAGCTTTTTCTCGCAGGTTGGTGTTCTCTAACCACACCTTTTGTCCTTCGGAGAATCGCTGTCGATGATGAGAACTGCTGTTAGAAAACCACACACAAAACAAACTAACACACAATCCTCCCAGATTCCACGGAACTTGTTTATGGGCTTTGCCTCCTAGAACAGTGGAGTGGTCTGGTTGTTTGTGGGGTGGTACATGTAAAGATCCTTCAAAGTAAAACCCAGAGATGTATGGGTGTGGGTTTTGAGGAGGAGGGATAGTTGGAATATAGAAAGATAGGGGGCTTTGTGGCGAGTATAGACAAGCACTACCTTGCTAATTGTAGCACAAGGTAGGTTTGAGAATGACAAGGTTCCCAGTGATAGCAGGCTCCTGACGCACAAACTGTAGTGCTCAGAAGGACTCTAATCGAAAGGGATAACGATGACTTCAAAAGTGGGAAGTGAACGATGACAGCAGTTAACAGTGGTAGAAGTGGGAAGTGTTGTGACCACACTGGATCACAAGTAGCAGAGTAGTGAACTTGAGAGTAGAGAAGAAGTCTGGAATCGAGTTCTTTGTTGTTTTTACAAGGTAAAATACAGGGGTTTATATAGTGAAAAGAAAGGTAGGCTATGCACAGTATAGCTGCGCAAAAAGAATGAGAAAGAACATGAAGGAAGGAATGTACGCTGACAAATCCTGCGTAGGTAGTACAGGATAAGATTATCAAAAAAAGGGAAAAGAAAGGGATAGAACAATGAATGCTGTGAGCCATGTCACAGGTTTGTACAGCCATAAAATAAAGTCCAATAGCAAAAAAAGAGCAGGAAAATCATGATGTCATGGGAAGATGCAGTAAAAAAAGGGCAAGGCAAAACACTATCAGTATCAACACAGTTCCTTTATTGTCAGTCAGGCATTCTAAAAAAATATGTGCCCATAAAAATGATTCAAAAATCAAAAATAATTGCACTGTAAATGAATGTTCTGCTGAAAAAAAAGAAACTGGAGCCACCGGTCCACCACCTAGTCCAAATCCAACAGTTCCATGGCCTTACTAATGGACTGGTTGTGTTGGACCACCTGATCAAACGAGGGAGGGAGAGGAGTAGTTCCAATTTTGAACAAGTGAGTCCCAGGCAGCGTGTGGTAGGTGTAGCTGTAGCGAAGACAATGGACAAAAGATAAGTGTACCCAAGTGAATGGGACAGCAATGAACATGGGCGACGCAAGGGGATGAACCTTCTCCAGCTCAAAAATTACCCACCCACGCTCCAACCAGGCAAGACGAGCGACCGATGTGTTGATAGTATATGATGGCAGATTGACGTCATGAAGATGGACCTGTTGCCCTATTTGGACTGGCCGCCGGGGCTTTGCTGATATCAGCAGTGGCACGTGGTAGTCTACGGATTGGCGACGGAAGCGGATAGGAAGTGGTGACATCAGAAATGGTGGGGGTGCAAATAAGATGAGGAGGAGGAGGGTGGAGGTGACGAACAAGTGGATTAGAATGGGGATCCAGAAACGACCGTCAGGTGAGAATAAAAAGGAGAGGAAGGGGCCCATGGTGGGGCTAGGCAAAGGAAGGGGAGTAAGGGAAATGACAAAAGCGAGGGCGCAATGCAATGTGTAGCCAGTGGCGACGCGAAAATTTGCCGAAATGCCGAAATGCAGAAAGTACCGGATGGAAAAGCAAAGGTGAGCGTGACTGGATTGTTTAATAGAGGTGATGCTGATCAGCTACAAGTTTGAAAAAGGCAATATTAATTACTATTCCACGTGGCACTGTGCCTGTGTGGAACAAAGGCGAGTCTTTTGAATATTCGCTTCATTATTGACACCTGTCCATGCTACCAATCAACTTTGGTGCATGACAGTGCAAAGTACTGAATGGAAAGCAAAGGTAAGCGCAACTTGATTGCCTAATAGAGGTGGTGCTGATCAGCTACAAGTTCAAAAAAGGCAATATTAATTACTATTCCACATGGCACTATGCCTGTGTGGCACAAAGGCGAGTCTTTTGAATATGCACTTCATTATTGACACCTGTCCATGCTCCCAATCAACTTTGGTTCATGACATCCACGGACAACTTGAAATTGCAACTGTCCCCAGTTGCTTCCATAAAGGTAGGGTCATAGGGAATGAAACATGGCAACACATTAAGGGGTCGTGTGGTCATAAAATTTATTCTGGTAAGTCATTAATCATCATCTTCATCATCTGAGTTGTTATGCTCATAGTCAGGTTCATCTTCAGGCTCATCTAGGTTGTCATCATGGTCATCCAGTTCATCCAGGAGGGGCATAGACTGTTGGTTGGGATAGGAAAGTAGTCAAAATGCTGCAATTGCTCTTTGTGATACTGATCCATCCATTTCTTTCAGAACATACAATCCTCCTTTAGTACATCGCACAATTTCATAAGGGCCATTGTAACGAGGCTTTGCTTTACGATCCAGCTCTTTCTCAAGGCAACTGTGTGGATTTTTGTGCAAATCCAGCGTCATATTTTATTGAAATCACTGTCATTCTTAGCCTGAACCTTTACTCAGTTACAAAAACCATATAGAATACACATCACTCAGCATGACGATTTTGCTACATTATGATACAAATAGAATACACCTAATCCATGAATTTGGAATTTTTCATGTCTTGGAGCATAAAAATGTCGTGATCCTTCAAGATCTTTTTCCCGTCGCGAGCTTCCAGTGGCCTGGATATGTCTATGTGATTGACACCAGCTGGGTAGCGTGCCTCCTCAATGCTTCCTGCCCAGTCAAAGTCGACGATCATGAACTGTGTTTTGTTGGTCTTGGACACCATAATATTCGTGTCGCGAATATCGCCATGGACGTAACCAGCTTCGTGAAGACTTTCCAGTTTTGCGGATATATCGGTGAAGACAGAAAGGGGGAGCCGTCCCGTGCGGGCACTCAGCATCTCAAAGTCGGCAGGGAGCATGTCCATGACCACCATGAACCAGCCACCGGCGATCTTTTCGAACCCTCGCAAGGCTGGGGCACATCCCAAAGATGCAAAGTGTTTATGGGCATCACACGAATAAGTTCGAACGAATTTGATACAGATATGATCGCCTTCGTCCTCAGTTCCGGAAAAGACGAGCTTGTCAGAGTCCAGTTCTATCACGTACCGGAAATGTTTCAGTGTATTGCTGTGAAGCGATCTGTAACTCGTTGGGTACGCGAACATATGAGGGGGGACTGGTGCGGAAGTAAGAAGAGGGGTTTCTGTCAGGTTTTCGTAATACTCATTCAGCCTTTCGGCAGCTTTGCGAAAAGCGGCCATGTGACGTGTCACAGTAAGTCGATTGTGGATATCGGTGGAATGAAAGTGAAACGCAATAGGTGTTGACAAGATCTGTACCGTCGGACGCAAATTCCATGCGGCACCGGCAAACACTATATGTGGCCCTGCAGAAAGAACCAATTAGCTCCCCATAGAACCAGTACAGTATGCAGGGACCAACCGAAAATGGCGAGAAGGAGGCAGGGCAAAGGGGATCTGCTGAATTTGACAGCCTTATCTCTCGTCCCCTCCAGGTAGTATCCTATGGCTTGGAAATACGGCTCGGCTGATGCATTCCCGGTTTCGTTCTTGTATTCGGCGATCACATAACGATGTCCTTGGGATTGCATGTCTGCATCCGTAATATATGCAGTAGTTTTCGTTTTGGTGATGGTGAAGTGGAAGCGGTACTTTTGAAATACCTTGTCAACAGCTTCAAGCCGTCCATTCTCGTTTTCATACAAGGCCGACATGGCTATCGCGAGGTGCTCGACGAAACTGTTGTCGTCAGCTGTTACATCAATAGTCTGACAGTCATCAAGAAACTGGCCAAAGACAGGATGTAAGAGGGTTACGGGGATAGTTTCCTCATATTCGCGAGGACGACCACAGGGTATAGATTTAAGGTGTTGTGAATTATTCTGTCGTCTCCGAAATTCAGACGGGGTGCCAGTGGCTGAAGGCTTCTCCTTTGGAGTGGATATTAGGAATTTATTGCGTGCAGTCGCGATCGGATCGCCATTTCCTACGTGACGATATGCCGATGGAGGATGTCCCGTTATCTCTGTGAGCTTGGGTGAGTACGAGCCAATACCGTCATGCTTTTTGCTTACTTTCATCGAGTAGCTCGACGACAACACGTGGCATCTGAAGAAAAGGGACGTCATCGAAGACCTCCTTCAGAATCACAGTCCCTTGCAGCATTTGACCCGATCCTGTAGCACCAAGAATCTCGTGGAGCTCGTCATCGTTGTTTGCTGTAACCTTGTAAACTCTGAAGCCAGGAAAGGGTATAATACCACTGTATGCCGCCTTGATCGAAGCGTTGAGATCGCCAATATCGGCCTCCGCTGGTATTGTGACTTTAATGAAACCCGCAAGATTTGCCCCTCGCATCCAAAATTTGATGGAAAGCACGTCTGGTAATGTGAAGAGAATGATCATCATGATTGAGGTTGAGTTGGAATTGCAAGTGCCACATACCAATGATAAGGTGAAGTTGGTTTCTGGCAGGCGGTTGCGTAAAAACATCTGACAACTGCTGCCCCGCCTCCAGAGGATTTTCCAGACTGGGACTGGTGAGATTGCTGAGCACACCTTCAAGTGAATCACCTCCTTCATATGGAAAGGAAACTTTGTAGAGATCGAAATACCCTGCCCCCACATCACGTAACCGCGAGGGGTTCCTGTCCTTGATGATTTCTTTGAGGTCGTAGACAGTCTCTGAACTTGAGACCTTGACATAAAAGACGACACTGGATCTGTCACCGCGCACCCAGCAGCAAAGAGTCAAGTTTGGGACTTCAATTTTGCGTGAAACTGAGTCATAAAGTTTGCCGTCAGAAGGGTAATAGGATACAGTGATAAATGCGTACAAGAACTGGGTGCACGGACGATGATGAACCACACCCCTTCCTTAGACTTGGGGAAAAGGGTTGATAATTTGGATCGTCTGGTGAGCTTCATTTCCTTTGAATGATCCCACCGACTAAGTTTGCCTTCCAGTTGCTCATCGTCAGGAAGGCAAATGGAGTAGAGATCGAGATACTTTGCTTCCACATCACGGAACTGTGAGGAGTTCTTGTTCTTGATGGCTTCTTTGAGGTCGTAGACAGTCTCTGAACTTGAGATGTCGACAGTCGAGATCCTTTCAACATCTTCACCGTAGACCCAACAGTTGAGCTTTTCCATGTTGTGGCACTTGGCTGGACTGAATGAAAAGATGAAAGACGGTGCGCGTGTGTGTGGCAACTCCGCCATACCTTGGTGGGCAACTCCGCCATAGCCAGGGAAGTCACCGATTGACCGATTGTCGACCGATTATTCACGTGACCTGACTGTTTCATTTTACCCCAGGTTGCATCTTTTTTTTTTCACCAAGTTCGTTTCTAACCCTATTTTCGGGGTTCGCATAGGTAGTGGTACTCTTTCGAAAGTCTATACAGCGACAGCAAAGGCATAAAATATTTATATTAGAGATCTGTGCCCATTCATGTGTATTGCACAAGTATTATGAGTAGTGTGAATGCAGAAAAAAGTACGGAAATGCAGAAAAAAGTAAGGAAAAGAGCGAAAATCATGAAAAAAACTTCAAGAAACCACTACTGCTTGCTCCATGTCGGAAAGACAGTCAACCCTCAAATACTTTTTTCCTTCGTGCTCCTTGACCAAATCCGGCATGGGGGGACTCAACGTGAGGGATTCATAAAGCCGAAACAAGACTGGGCTGTATGGAATTGGAGGGGTCATTCGTTTGACTAGCATAGCTGTTACAATAACACAATTTCCGGACATTTCCTTTCTTTTTATTCTCCGCTTCAACTCTATACTTTAAGTGCCACGCGCCATTTTCCCTTTCCCGCGCCGCGTTGCCTTTCTCTTATTTTAGATTCAACTCTCTCACGCAGTGGAGCTGGCCATATGGGCTAGGCCCTATGACATCATCAGCCACTGCCTTCATCAACTGTATAGTACACATGTACAAACAAACCTGTAGTAGTATATATACCCCAATAGATCCAGGAGACTCCTCAGCAAGTCCTCCTGTTGTATACCAACTAACTCACTGCAGCCTAAGGGGTAACCACTCCCCAACTTCATCCTCCTTCTAGTGTGTTCTGTGTGTGCCAGAGTAATTCACTCTTGGTTGTTACAATAGCTGCAAATGCCTGATATTCCATCTCAAGGTCAGCACCATTTCCACCCTCAATTATGACCTTCTCATATATTTCATGAATAGTTGAGAGGAAAACCCGAGGATGAAAGTGAGTGCCATTCACAAAAATGCCTTGAGGCTGTGGCCAGGGTGGAAGCTTGTCTGGGAAATCCTTTCTGACAGGAACACCGTCAGAACAGAATAGTTTCTTGTGGTTTCCTGAAAAGCCTGTCGATCCTGGGTACTTGATAGTGCGGCAACGGTGTTGATGATGAGAACCGTTGTTAGAAAACCACACACAAAAACAAACTAACAAACAATCCTCCCAGATTCCACGGAACTTGTTTATGGGCTTTGCCTCCTAGAACGGTGGGTGCTCTGGTTGTTCGTGGGGTGGTATGTATGAAAGTCCTTTAAAGTAAAACCCAGAGAGATATGGGTGTGGGTTTTGAGGAGGAGGGATAGTTGAATTTATAGAGGATGGGGGCTTAATGACGAGTATAGATGAGCACTACCTTGCTAATTGTAGCACAAAGTAGTTTGAGAACGACAAAGATGACGAGGTGACGAGGTTCCCAGTGATAGCAGCTCCTGACGCACAAACTGTAGTGCTCAGAAAGACTCTAATCAAAAGGGATGAAAATGACTTCAAAGTTGGAAGTGACATGACAGCAGTTAACAGTGGTA